TTTGAAAAAGTTGTTTAACCAACGATCATGTGTTTTGTTGTCACTTTTCGCTACTTTTTACGAGGAGGAGGGGGGGGGGGGGGGACTTCTGTTCTGTTCAGCAAGTGGTACCCCATCGTAAGAGATAGCGTAGTGACAACAAAATAATGATGGTTTGTTGAGCAACATTATTCAGAGTTGGTCTGTCGATTTCGTGTGACTGGTTTTGTTGCAATTACATGTATTAGAGTTTGTGATAGACAGCCATTCATCGGTCTCAAATGAAATCAAACGGACTATACCAATCACTATACCAATTCATATTCAGTAAATCAACCGGCCAACATCAACGGGAACAGGTATTAAAAAAGAATTCCAACAGAATGAATGGGAAAACATCAATTTAATGGCAAATCGATGTACACAAAGTGTTCATTTAAAATGGTTTCAGAACAGGATTATTCAGAATATTTTGACAACTAATCATTTTTATGTATATGATTAGATATATTGATTCACCTTTATTTTCTTTTTGTAACAGGTACCTGAGAGTGTTATACATTTACTATGTGATTGTATACATTCAAACAGTGTGGAAGGATTTGGCTAAATTGATAGAAAGTAGGAAGAAGGATCTTTTAATTTCACATCAGAAAATTGTATATTTGGATTCAAGGGAAGAAACAATAATCCCTTCAATGTTATCTGCTAAATTGTAAAACAAAATATTTACAATATCAGCAGAAAGGGATTGAAACCCAATTTTAAATGTTTCCAAAAAGAAATACTAAAATACTATCAAGCATGTAGATGCATTTCATTTACAAATAATAGTCAGCCTAAATTCTATGTCTTTTATTCATCTTTTCACAGTTTGATTTCTAATGTACACATATAAAATGTAAAATGTATAAACTATAATAGTTGAATTGTAGACATCAGAAGTTCATGTAATGAGAATGCATGTAATGAAATGTTTTGGAATACCTTGCAAGCATCTATGTTCTAAGATGCTTCGGTGACAGATCAAAGGCGCCGACAGTACTTCAGTTAGGAAATAAAATTCGCTCTACCCCAATGTGTTTTGTAATAAAGTATAGTTTTGCCCTTAACTATTATAATTAAAGCACGAGGACGGTAGTCCGAGTGCTTTGATGTTATAATAGTTCAGGGCAAAACTATACTTTATTTCAAAACACATTGGGGTACACACTCCGGCACAGCGATGACTTAACATAACATACTATGCTGGCTTGCCGCATGGAACTCTGGGTAGGAGAGTGATTTGGGTAGAGCGAACTTTACATCTTTTCTAAGATGCTAAATTTAATACTTTCTCAGGATAATTACGATTAATTTAAGGCAGAAAACAAACGACGGTGTCGGTGACCTAAATTAAGAATCCTCGCACAGGGCTAACTGGCGCGCTGTTCCATTGATGTGTCTGCCCCCCTACGTTAAGACGAACGTTACCAGAAAAAAAGAAATGATGACAGTTTGATGACGGTTTACGTTCGGATTAAATATCTTCTCTGAATTATTTTAATTACATCTGTCATTAACGTAAACCATATGGGGCAATATGAACGTCGCATTTCTACTACCAACGTAAGTTTAGATCAGTACATCCAGAGTACGGAGTCAGAATAGACTCTGAAACGTCTTGTTCCTCACATTGGAGAAGTTGACATCTATAAATGTACCACGTGTTGTGTATCACCTCTAAAACAGTTAAAAGATTTTTCGATTTAATTTGCTTTCTTGAATGGTAAGATGTTGAAACATTAGACATATCTAATTAATCTTGTCAGAAATGCATATCAGCATCCCGCCATGTAAAGTTGGTATCTTTCTGTTGTCGCTGTACCAAGCACCCGTTAACCCCTCCCATGCACATATATACCCTTAGGGAGATGCTCATGATGTTGATCACTGATTCTCTGGTGCAGACTCGATTATTTACAAGGGAGCGGTTTTACGCCGCTTTTAGTAATATTCCAGCAATATCGCGGCGGAGGACACGAGAAATGGGCTTCACACATTGTGCCCATGTGGGGAATCGAACCCGGGTCTTCAGCGTGACGAGCTAACGCCTTAACCACTAGGCTACCCCACCGCCCCTATTTACAAGGCCGCCGCCATATAACTGGAATATCGGAGTGCTGCGTTAAACAAAAAGGCAAAAACAATATAGCATACCCATCCTTATGTTGTGTTGTATTAATCCAGAGCAGATTATATGAGTCTGTATAAGTCTGGGCTGTATTACTTTCCAGTTGGTTGAGAACCGTATATGGGTCTATATCGGAACTTTGCATCATGACATAATAGTGAATGAGTTGGGTTTTGTACTACTGTTTGCAACGTTCCATCTATATCACGTCGGGGGACACCAGAAATGGGCCTCACACACTGTACCCATGTATCTTAAGTATCTTACCTTTACTGTTGCTTAACCGACTCCTCAAATGCCAGTCAGCCAGATCTGAAAACATGTTGCTCGTTATGAACATTATAACTTCACACAGTACGAGGATCTACAGGAGGTGGCCATAAGTGAGTTGTCATCAGTGAAATTTCCACAGACTTATGTACATCTTAATTAACTTTTGCAAGAATAATTTTCATAAAATGAGTAGAAGTCATTTTATTTTGATATTTTGCACACATCTTGGAAATCATCTTCAGCTACGTGTACCTACTTTTGTTTCATCTTTACATAGGGCGGTTGGGTAGCCTAATGGTTAAAGCGTTCGCTCGTCACGCCGAAGACCCGGGTTCGATTCTCCACATGGGTAGAATATATGAAGCCCATTTCTGGTGTCCCCCGCCGTGATATTGCTGGAATATTGCTAAAAGCGGCGTAAAACTACACTCACTCACTCATCTTTACATACGTTATCGAATGACACCTGATTTTAAAAGCACCATAAGTACAACTTAATCTTAATCTATCCCATACACAGCCATGTTAAACCTGGTTGGTATGTCTAATGTATGCCGTTCAAATAGTTGCAGTTTTCTTAATTTTCTTAATAATCATCGGAAAATTGAATGTAAATTATGTGTTTGTAGCTGGGATGATTTCCCAGCTGGTAGAAAAGTATTGAAAGCAATTCGACCGAAACTAAGTTTATTAAAAATATTCTTGCAAGAGTACTAGTTAATTAACATGCAAGTGTATGGGAATGTCACAAATGATCACTCACTTTACCAACTACTGTATGTGGCGTGCATCCTCAGTACAGACCAGTATTGCTGGGGCACGATTGCCCATTTTGTATGTTACCATAAGCAGGGATATAGTCTCCCTGCCGTAAGTAACGTCGAAAACCAGAACAAAAACGTAACCGAGCGAGTGAGCAGGTCAGTATGACATTTGTATCATAAGTGAGCCCCTGGTTTGTTATCACTTTGATTAAACCCAAGAGAACGAATGTAGCGCACACAAACCAATCAGGGATTCGAACCCAATATCACCAGTCCCTGATATGCTTACAGCGTCGTGACAAAAGTATTCTCGATTTGGCAAATATAGCCGTTTTGATTGAAACGTCTCGTATTTTGTCTCTTGCTTCGCAAATACTGAACAGATTTTCATGTTTGATACGTCGCTTGTGAGCTTAAGATATACGATTAGTGCGCATGTGCAATGACGTCATATGTCGTCTGCTTGCAATGCAGAAATCGTCTGCTGTAAACAATGGGCCGAAAATCAAAGGAACTCAACATTAGTACGAAAGAACTAATTGTGGATTTGAAACGGAATGGAAAGAAAACTTCTGACATTGTGAAATTATTAGGTGTACCTGAATCAACAATTCGGTATGTTTGGAAAAAATATTTGAATCGTGGTAATGTTGAAAACAGCCGACGAAGTGGTAGGCCGAAAAAAGTGAGTATTCGTAGTGAACATGTTTTGTTGAGGAGTGTGCGCAAGAATAGATTTAACATTCTAAGAGACATTACCCATGATTATAATGTTGGTCAACATCAACAAGTAAACAGTAGAACAATTCAAAGAGCTTTGCATCGGAATGGTGTTTTTCGTCGGGTTATTAGAAAGCGCCTTGTTGTGAAGGAAGTGAACAGAAGGAAACGACTTCACTGGTGTTTGGAAAGGAGAATTTAGACAGTACAAAATCAGTGGAAACAGGTGATATTCAGTGATGAATCGCAGGTAGTTATTGGTCAGAATGGAAGAGTTTTCGTTTGGAGAAGTGCGCATGAAGCCTATCGTACCGAATGCATGATTCACTCGAAACAGGCCAGGTTATCAGTTATGATCTGGGGTTCTTTAACTTGGCACGGTGTTGGCACCTTGTGTCGTGTTGATGGTAATATTAATGCTGTCAAGTATCGTGAAATACTTGAAGACAACCTCTGGCCCGTTATAGCTCTGCACTTCAACAACAAACCATATCGGTTTCAAGATGACAATGCTCCAGTGCATCGGGCACGAATTATTCAGGAATACAAGCGTGACAATGCTGTAAATTGCATGACTTGGCCTGCACAGTCTCCCGATCTCAATATTATTGAAAATGTATGGCTACACATCAAAAGAACACTACAGCGACGATCACAAACTATCCTGACCACTGACGAACAGTATGATGCCATCTACGATGTCTGGACAAATATCACTCTACACTGTGTCAGAAACTTATATGAATCAAGTCCACGACGGATTATGGCCTGCATACGCTCCAACGGGAACTTGACCAAGTACTGAGGTGAGACATAATTCTTTTTTTGAAATATCGCTGTTTAAAGTTTTCATACGGTCATGTGTTTACTTTCGCCATTTTGAATTGTCGCGAATACTTTTTCATCACGCCGTATGATTTTCAACGCTGCACAACGAATATCGGCGTTCAAGAAAGGAAATTCTGCCGGAGCGACCATTTGTGCACAACGAACAAGTGAATTTCTTTCATGAATAATGCGTACCAACCGACGCTTGGAGCTTACATATTTACATTACTTGTTGCTAGGAAAATACAATGCAACTTTTTGGCGATTCTTCTACCGCGGCAAGTATAAACATGCACATGATCCGGTAATGTGGAAGCGTGAGTATTGCTTATTACTATTTTTTTATAAAATAGTTTTGACATTTTAGCTACAAAGTTATATTTAATGACGAAGATACTCATATTGTCACTTCTGTCAGGCAAATGTCACGACAAGCCCCAGTCGTTCCGAGAGGAAGGATAAGCATGAGAGTTGTTGTTGTCCTATTTTCGATCAGCTTATCGTCGTGATGTTAACTGTTATTTCACATGCGTCCCATGCTTGTAATAAACAGACACTTATTTCTGGAAAGGTTCCAAGTAGACCTATTTATTCTCTGCTTTGAATGACATTATTCATGATTAACTGGCAAATGTATTTTATTTTTATTTTTTCCTAAGGCGAATGTTATTAAGTCACACGTACAAGCTCTAAATTAAACAGCTTTGTCAAGAGTGAAATTAAGCATTAAAGCCAAATAGCCCTTGTCTTAATTTCATAATTGCCTCAAACTCAGATACAAATACATGTAGTAGAGGCTAAATCCTGAAATACTCAGGACTGACTGACTGACTGAGTTTGGTTTTACGCCGCTTTTAGCAATATTCCAGCAATATCACAGCGGGGGACATCAGAAATGGGCTTCACTCATTGTACCCATGTGGGGATTCAAACCCGGGTCTTCGGCATGACGAGCCAACGCTTTAACCACTAGGCTACCCCACCGCTCAGGAATATTGCGTTAAGTAAATTAGATTTAAGTGACCAAAGGCTTCGAGTTCACAATAACTCAGAGGACAGCTGATTTTTGAATAGAAACACACCAAATATTTATGACAAGGGATTTGTGTAATTAGTCAAGATCAAGACGGATGTCCCGGAAATCCTTTGCTTGTGTATATACATCCAGTAATCAAGCCTCAATAATATACCCCGTTTTCACCTGCTTTCAACAATAATGTGTATCATCATATCATAGGTTTCTTGGACATCATATGTTTTTGGCTGGCAGTGCTTACTTTGGCTGTAATGAGAGGTGTTGTGTCACACAGACATTGTATATTCTTAAAGTGAAGCAGCCTGCTTACACCTATAGAACAACCTATATAGGTCCTAATACTAAGTAAACTATTCTCCGCGTGTTCTTAACTTTCATGTCTTATCTACTTTCGGGTACTACAAAAAGTCCTAATTATGCATAATGCGGAACACACCCGCACAACACTCCTCCCCGTTCCGAAATTGAAGGGGGCACTCAAACCTAAACATATATAAACCAAAACATTTGACAACTGAAACCTGCTGACCTATCTGAACTCAAAAGAAATATTAAACGCCAGTCTCTCCTCCCTCCCTGCTGCTGGTGAGAAAGGAGAAAAGGAAGAATGGGGACACCCTCTGAATCCATGTTCCATTCCATACCCATATTCAAATCAACGACATCTCCTGGATGAGCCATACTGTGCAGAAAGCACAATTTTAAACTTTGGATATACATACAAAATTGAAACAGACAATTTTCAAATCAAGATATTTCAACTCAACATTTCCTGTTCAAAGAAAATCCTAAACTTACAGGAGCAAAAAAAAAACAAAGCCTGGAAGTACAGTTATTGTAGGGACGAGGGACATGGAAAGCGAAGCCATGAGGTCTTGGCTTCACACCCTCTGCACATGTACTGGTCTATAGCTTCAGCTGCCGACGTGTAATATCGACACAATCTCCATGAAACCACACCGAAACAGGTTTCACACTGAATCATCAACTTCCCATCATCAGGTTTCCGGCACCAACAATGCAACTCCTCACATGATAGCCCTTCCGTGAGGCTTAGACAGACCCTGCTGTCGGTGGGAGTGGCATCTCCAGTGGAAATACATAAACCTCCAGCGGAGGTTTCTTTGCTGGGGAGAAGGGATTCCCTAAAACTGAGAGCCCATGTTGGAACATCAATGCCCAGAATACGGCTTCAGACGATCATGATTCATGATGGTGATGGTATTTCGGTTTTTGACGCTGTATAGCAGTGATGAAATACGCTTGCTATAACACAGGGACCCTTCCAAGGAGAGGTCAACTTTTGCATTTTCCTTTTATGGTGGCTGTGTCCATCACCAAAACAAGATCACCGACATTGTACTGGTTCAACAAAATATTGACATCATAATCCCTTTTTGAGGTTTCCTGTGTGGTCTGGAGCATTTTACGAGCTGTCTCGTGTGCTGCACGATTCTGTCAGTCATAGTCTTGACATAGCTATCTGCATCCAAATGACTTTCTTGTGGCAACACTGAAAACATTAGGGTCTGCTGGTGTAGTGACCTCACGCCAAGCATCAGCTTATTGGCTGTGTACCCTGTACTCGGTTGACCGCACATCGTAAGGCAAAAGCAATTAGTGGCAGGTGAACATCCCATTCTTCCTGATCCTTGATGAAGCAGCGGACAGCATCCATGAGTGTGCGCGACAGCTGCCTACCTGGCCACGTTTGATGATGGGCTGATAAGGAGTGGTCCTGGTTTTGTGAATTTGGAGTGTGTCACACATGGCCTTAAACAACCTACTTTCAAAATTCCTACCTTGATCAGTGTGGATAGCAAACGGAAGCCAAAACGGAAAAGAATTCATTGACTGCACCGCTGGCAGTTTCAGCCCCTTGTGAAGGCAAGGGTATACATTCGACCCATTTGGAAAACTGGTCTACTTTATCATCAGAATGTGTTCATTGCCACGCAGGCGCTCTTGGCAATGGGCCCAAAAATCTAAATGAACCCTTTCCATAGGAGCTCCTGCATGGAAATTGGTCATGGAGTGTTTTGCCTTCCTATTGCCCTTCTTTTGGCGAGTTACACTCAGAGCAAGTGGATACATGAAGTTGAATGTCACGCGACATACCATACCAGTGATAATTGGGTTTGATCCTAGCCTTGGTTCGCTTCTGCCCTTGGTGACCTGCTGAGGGAATATTGTGATGCAAATAGAGGACATCATGGTGAAGATCCTTCGGGACCACCAATTGACGCTTTGGAGTCCAGGGTCATATACAGAATGCCGTCAGAAATGTGGTACAACTCCTGTTCAGGTAATAGAATTTGCTTGCTGGACTGGATAGATTCAAATGACTATGTGTAGGTTCTACACCATTTAACAAGAACTCTAGAATGATATCCAGATCTGTGTCATTCCTCTGAGCATTGAGAATGTTATCTCTAATGTGGTGCTAATCTCATCCTCAGAGAGTATCAGATCCCCTTGAGAGCTTGCCTGACCCTGAAATCTGAGTCTGTTCTAGCAGATACGGGGTAACCCTCATCGATGGATCGCATCAACCTCCAGTGGAGGGTAATGCTCCTTCAAACACCTGGTTTTGGTCCAATCTGTCGGAAGGATATATCCAAGGCACCATCAGGGGTTACAAGAATGTTGACATCTGGAGATGCTGACCTGAAATTAGGAGACTCATTCCACGCTCCCTCACTGATTGGGTGTCTGTCGGTCGCACCTGGAACTTGATTGGTCTAGGCACAGAGGCTTGTCATTCCCAGCTGGAGATGGCGATTCTCTTGTGGATTGAGTTTCACCTCCATTGGAGGGTGAGTGAGTGGTCAAAAAAGAGTGCTTGATGAGTGGGATCTACAGGGGACTTGGGACCCTTGGACAGTGGCAGCACATCGCCAACAGACTGGCGAAATTCATACCAGTTCTGGTGAGCCTTCATACAGTACTTCTGCAGCCATGGCAAGGAGCTGAGATGGAAGGACATCAGTGTCTACATTTGGGCAGGCTGTCAGAGGTGGACGGGCGGGATAGGGAGTCAGCATTACAGTGCTTAGAGCCTGGCCGATGAACTACTTTCATAGAATACTGGCTCAATTCCTCAAGCCATCTTGCAAGCTGGCCGCTAGGTCGCTTTAAAATTCATGAGCCACTGCAAACTGCTGTGGTCCGCTCTGAGCATAAACGGTCGGCCAATTAGGTAATGCCGATAGGCCCCTGGTGAACTTCATAACAGCTAGCAGCTCCTTTCTCGTAGTAGTACAGTACTTTGAGTTGTTCTTTGACAGAGACAGGCTTCCATGTTTATGACCTTTTCAACACCATTCTGGACTTGAGTCAGTTCTGCACCAAGAGCATAGTCAGATGCATCAGTGTCTAAAATGAACGGATCATCCATGTTGGCAATTCCCAAAACTGGAGTGGACAGCAGGGCATCCTTTATCGCTGGAATGCCTGTTCACGCCTCATCAGTCCAGAGGAAAGTTTTTCTACCCGCCACCTGGTACAATGGCAGAGCCAAATCAGCATACTTTGGTATAAACTGACGATGATAGTTTGCTAGTCCTAGGAAGCGCTCAAACGCCCTTGCAAGAGTTTGGGGTTGGCCACTGCTCCACTGGCGCTTGACATCAACTCCTGCTTCAAGGCCATCTGGACCAATTTTTCGTCCCAGGAACTCGACACTCACTTGAAAGAGTTCACACTTCTTCGGCTTCAACTTGAGTTGATACTTCCTGAACCTCAAAAACTTCTCGGAGGTTGTCAAAGTGGCAGTCAATTGTTTTCCCAGAACCAGTGTGTCATCCAGGAAAGCCAAGACAATTTTCCAATTCAGCCCAGCTAGAACTAAATTGATGACACGATCAAAGGTGGCTGGGGCATTACACAGACCAAAGCCCATCCTGGTGAACTCCGAACAAGCCATATTTAGTGATAAACGCAGTCTTGTGTCGGTCCTCTGCTTTGATAGGAATCTGCCAGTATGCATTATTTGCATCAAGCTTTGAGTACCACACATTGCCGGACAGTGATTCCAGACATTCTTCTATGAGTGGCAGAGCAAATACTGTCTTCACTCATTGTAGATTGAGCTTACGGTAATCCAAGCACCATCTTACTCCGCCACATCTTTTCCTCACTAGTACAGGTGCTGCTGCCATTCTGAAGTGGAGGGTTGGATAACCTGAAAATCAAGCATCTTCTGTAAAATGACTTTCCTCCTCGTGGTGCAAAGCTTGGCGGAGTTCGCCTCATCCGTTGCTTCACAGGTGCGAATCACCT